TGACCATTTGGCGAAACAACACGCACGAAACCAAACAAAAACACAGGGAATTGCCGTCCGAGCGATGGTCAGGTGCAGCAATCTGCCCAGGCCCGCGCGGTGGGCCACGTCGTCGGTTGCCCGAGCCCCACCAGACCCCGCCGCCGTGGTCTCTGCACACCGTGGGCCCTCCGAGGGCTCGGCCCCTTCTCCAGGGCGGGCGCGCCTTCCCGCTTGGTGTTTTGGCAGCCGCGGCGCTGGGCAGGGCCCCCCCCCTGGGGCAGAAGGAACGGCCCCTCCGAGCTCTGCCAGTGGGTGCTGCACGGCGCGGGGGGTGCTCGCAATTCCAATCGGCAGTGCTCCCCGTGCCGCACCGACTTCTCGCGGTCCTGGGGCCCGAAACGGGCACCCCCTTGAGAGTCGTCGTTTTCTTCTGCACTGTTCTGCCGAGGGGCGCTGGCCCTCGCCCCCCCTCCTTCCCCCCCCCCCGCCCCTGCAGTCGATCTTGGCGATGTTTGGCGCCTGTGCCGAGCAGGTGGGACCTCCCACCATTGGGCGCACTGTCGCAAACAGTCGCGCTGCCCCCTCCCCCCCTTCACCTGAATGTCGAAGTGCCGAACAAGAAAAAACGCTTGCGCACCGAAGCAGCAAAAGAAGCGCCCCGAACCTCGCGAATGCTGAAGGGTCGATCGACCGAAGACGACGACGACGGCGACGACGACGACGACGACGAGACCGTGGGCCGTGCCCGCGCGGGCATAGGGGAACAAAAAGTGACATACACATAACAATTCGGAGGTCCGCGCGGACCTCCGAATTGTTATGTGTATGTCACTTTTTGTTCCCCTAGTTGTCGAGAAGGCGGAGACGGGCCGGACGGAGATGGAGGAGGGTGGAGTAGCGTGGAAGGGGAGTCGACGTTGGAGACTTGGATCTCCGAATTGTTATGGTTCTGTCACTTTTTGTTCCCCTTGGGCAGCCCCGCAGGCCCGCCGTGGCGGCGCCGCCGCTGCCCCCGCCTCCCGCGGGGGCGCCGCCGGCGCCGTGCGGGGCCACGCCCGCGCCAGCCGCGGCGGTGCCGTGGGGCGCGGCGTCGGCGCCGCCGCTGCCGCAGGATCGCCTCCTGCTCCTCCTGCTCCTCCTCCCTCCTCCTCCCTCCTCCTCCTCCCCTTCCTCCTCCTCCTCCACCTCTACTCCATCCTCCTCCTCCTCCTTTCACTCCTTCCCTCCTCACCTCCACATCCTTCTACCTCGTCCTTGTCCTCCTCCTCCTCCTCCTCCTCCTCCTCCTCCTCCTCCTCCTCCTGTGCTTGCCTTTTGAGATCTGGGGTGGGAAGCGAGATCAGCACGCCTTCTAATCCTGGCAACTGGTGAGCAGATAGACTTGCTCAGGCTGTCGCCAACGGTTGTTGCCACACTTGCCCAGCAGGCTGCCAGGGAGATGAGGCTCGTGTCGGTTCGGAGGCGTGGTGTCGTCCTGTTTTCTGGCAGCCGCTAGACTTTCTCTTGTCCAGGCGCACGGACTCCTGGACTAAATCGCACGTCAATGCCCTCAGGGCTTCGGTCTCGGGGACCCACTGGACGCAGGATCGGCTGCATAGGCATGGGCTCGTGTCGTGCAACCTCTGCAGGCTTTGTCTAGGTGGCCCAGGGACCATGTACCATCGTAGGTTTCTCTGTGATGCATGGGCGGCAGATCGTGCACATTTCCTGTCAGATGGTGTGTTAGCTGCCGCCAGGCAAATTCAGGAGTTCAAGGACCCAGGAGAGTTTTTTGCTTCTGGGCTGCTTCCGTCTCCTAGGGAGTTGGTCCCCGCGCCCCTGGGGTCCCAAAGCTGCCACGTTTCCTGGATTCGGAGGCCAGAGGACGGCCTGCTGCGTGGGAAACTTTGTACCGATGGTTCTGCGATTTTTCCCACGGACCCGCTCCTAAGGCGACCGGGGTGGGCGGTGATCTCTGTCGACGACGCTGGTGGGATGCTGGCTGGAGCGTTCGGCCCCGTCCCTTGGGATGTCGCCCCCCTCCAGCTCGCCAAAGACGGCGAGGACTATGCTTTCTTTATGTTCGGCCAGATCGCTTTGGCCCCCGAGGGTGTCTGGACGGACTGTGCGGCGACCACTTCCGCTTCGTAGCCCAGAGTTCGCTCCACGAGTGCTAGGTGTGCCCAGGCTCACATGTGGTCTTCGGTGCACGCGGCCTTCGAGGATGGCCTGCTGGCTCACAAGACTGGGGCCCATTGCTCGGAGGCCGATGTCACCAGAGGGCGCACCACTTGTTGGGAGCGTAAGGCTAGCGCCATCGCCAACGCCCTCGCAAAAAGGAGAGCGGGCATTCACCCGTCAGTGGAGCAGGCTGCCCGAGAGACTGCTGGTCTTAAGCTTCTGGGGCGGGAGTTGGGCCAGTGGGCTGGGCGGCAGGGGGTTCTGATGAAGGAGCGGGGTTGGGACGACCCTGAGGGCCTGCCTGACAAGGGCCACTCGGCTCGGTCCAGGCGTTCTGGTCCTCGAGAGCGCCCCGTGTCTCCCGTCCCCGTGCGTTTTCGTGTTGTGCTCTCTGCCGTGGCTGACTGTGGGCACAGTGATCCCGAGCTCGCCATTCTGATGCGGCTGTCGCAGCATAACTTGAGAGTGTGCAAAGTGTATGATAGTGCAGGTGCCCCTGTGGACAGCCCCACGACTGATCTGCTGTATGCCGTGTGGAGCTTATGCGTGGGGCGGTGTCCGCGGGCTCAGTGACTGTGTGTGCCACGGGCACAACGCGGGGTCAGGGCTGAAGCAGCAGCGTTCAAGGTTGCTCGCTGGTTTGCTTCCGCGGTGGTTGACCCGCTATAAGGGCTGGAGTGCGAGTGTCCTCGAGCGCCCCGCCCTTGGAGACCTCTTGGGACTCGCTCGTGCGATCCTCGGCCGACCCCAGGTGCGTGCGGCCCTCCCTATCGGCAGGGCCGTCTTCCCCAGGGGGCCGCCGTGGCAAGTCGCGTTGGGGCGCGGGTCCCTCCTCGCCCGCTACGGCCTCACAGGCGCCACGCTCCCGCGGTGGGAACAGGAGGCGGGCCGTATGGGGGGGCGTGGAGGGAGAGGAGGTGCAGGTTTAGTCTGCGTTGGTGTTATCCTCGCGGGTGGTATCTTGGACGCCTCCCGCCTTCGTCTCATCTGATCCTCCTCCTCTTCCCCCGCCCCCCTCCCCGCCTCCGCCCTGATCGTCGTCGCCGCGCGCCTGTCGTCGTGGTTTGGGGGAGCGAACAATGACGCAAACGTAAAAACTCGGAGATCCGCGCGGATTTCTCGGATCCGCGCTGGACCCCCTTGGCAGCGCCTCCAGCGCCGCCCCTGGCGCGCTCCAGTGCGGATCCGAGAAATCCGCGCGGATCTCCGAGTTTTTTTGTTTATGTCATTGTTCGTTCCCTTATGGTCGCCGCCGCTGCAAGATCGCCGTCGTCGTGGTCACCCCCGTCCTGAAGCCGCCATGAGGGTCCCCAAGAGACTCCAACAGAGCCCTAGGATGCCCCCGGCGTCCAAAGAGCGCCCCGGCCCGAGCCTCTTCCGCCCCCCGATCGATCAAATCCACGAGCGTTCGATGCACGATGAAGGGCGCCTGAAGCAAGCGTTTCCAGCGACGCACGCGGCCCATGCCAGTCATCTCCAGGAACAGTTGATGGACGTCCTCGTCGATCACGGGGTCGCAGCTCATGTAACCGAGATCTGCGTGTACCCGCGCCGCCCCTAGGTGATAGCTGCCCGTCTCCAGATAGACGCAGCCAGCGACGCAAACGGCGCCCCTCCCTGCGGACGATCCATCTTGCCCATCTCGTCTTCACGCTCAGCAGGTTGCGCGAGGTTGCAGCCCCCTCGATCAGCGCCGCAGCTGCGTCGAGGCCCTGGGACGACGGCGGCGCTGGCAGTGGTGCATGCAGCAGCGGCGGCGGCGTCGGAGGCGGCGCAGGCGGCGGCGGATGCGTGAGCGTGAGCGGTGGCGGCGGCGCGCTGCCCAAAATGAGTGCCGACGGTGCCAGCATCTCTCGCGTGACGTTCAGCCCGGTCGAGAAGCGCTGGACGCTCGAGCGAGCAAGTGCACCGACGGCGGGTCGGCAGCACGACGCGTTGCACTTGTTTGAAAGTCCCCAACCTCGTCACGCCCGCCGCCATCCGCGTTGGATCCGCCGCACGCCTTCCGCGCCCGCGCCCGACGGCGCCATCCATCCCCCGCTCGGTGTCGCAGCCCGGCATCCAGTGCTCACGGCCTGCACCGGGATGGAGCACGCCCAGCGTGTGTACCGAGCGGCCGTACTCGGGGGCCTTGGGTGAAGGCGGGCCGTCCAGCCCGCGCCCTTTTGGTGAGGCCGTGCCGAGCCGCCGCAGCTCAAGCAACACGCCGCAGACGTGGCGAGAGGCGCGCTCCCGGGGCCTCTCGGAGCCGCCTCGGGGCTCTCTTGGGGTCCCCTTGGGCCGTCTTGGGGGCCTCTTGCATCGTCTCAGGGGACGGTTTTGGTCACCCTGGGTCCCCCATAGCGCCGTGTTGGCGCTCTCTTCGGGGCCTCTTGGGGCCATCTTGCAGGCTATAGAGTCCGTCAGGGGCCCCCGCGAATTCAAAAAGGCGAGAAGTCAACACTCGGTCAACAACTTTTGGGACATTGGTGTCTTTGGCCTCTGGAAGCACTATTGGGGGTCCTCTTGGAGCTCTCTGGAGCCCTCTTTGGGCAGTCTTGGGTCGCCCCGGGGCCATCTTGCGCCGTCTTGGGGCCGCTTGGGCCCCCAGAAAGCCCGAGAGGCCAAAACGAGGGATTTTTTTTCAGAAATCGGAGGCCGCCCGAACGAGGCCTCCGATCTCCCTGGGAGGCCCAGGAGGCCCCAGGAGGCCCACGATGCCCAAACAGGAGGCCAAAAGACCAAAACCCCCAGGAGGCCAAAACCTTCGATTCCCTAGGAGGCCTCCTCCTCCTCCTCCTCCCTCCTCCTCCTGGGTTTGCTTTAGCATGGGATTCAGGAAGTGAGTGAGGGTTTTCGCTTGCAGCTTTTCCTCTCAGGGAGGGGAAGCCGGTGACGCGGGGCTGCATGGCCCTGGCGCTGCGGCCGCAGCACGCCGCCGTCGGCGTCGTGGGTGCCGTGCTGCTGCGCCACGCGGACCTGCTGTACCAGGCCTTCCTGCACCAGGCTGGCTGGGGCGCCGACAGCGGCGTGAAGGCGGCGGTGAGTGCCCCCCGCAAGGCCGCGGAGGCGGCCACCATCGCCGCGGCGGCGGCTGCCAAGGCGGGCGCGGCCCGCGAGGAGCAGTGCCAGCGGCCGCCCGAGTGGTTGAGCCTGCCGGAGCCTCAGCCCTGCCCCGAGCCGCCGGCCTGCGAGTGCCGGTGCGAAGGAGTCGTGGAGAAGGTGGTCGACGAGCACGCGTGGTCGGAGCTGCCCGCGTGGCAGGTGCCCGGGTCGGCCGTGGGCCACATCCTGGTGGTGAGCGCTGGCAGGTGCTGCGCCCGGCGTCGCCAAGATGGCGAGCAGGCGCGTTCGACCACCGCTACGGATGGCGGCCAGCGCGGAGGAGCCGAGCCTGCGCGTGCCGCAGTGGAGAGGGGCGGCAGCCCTCCGACTGGCCAGCGGCCGCGCCGTCGGGGAGGAGGCGTTCTGGAGTGAGCTCCTCCCTGGCGGCTATGTGGCCGTCTTCTACAGCGATGACAACGTGTGGCACGAGAGACTGCTGCTAGGCCAAGTGGATGCGCAGCACTGGGTGATGGAGACCCCCGACCACGACATGTACGTCGAGAACATTCTCTGCTCCAGCCCTGAGGACGGCCCGTGCCGCGCCGTGGTGCTGGAGGACAGTGGCGCGCTGCCCGTCTTCTTGCGGGGCCGCACCTACCGCTTCAAGGACTACCTTGGGGAGGAGGACCTGTTGGCTCGTCTGCGCGAGGCAGGGCAGCTGGCAGTCGAGATGGGTTACGACAGGCCCGCGCACTCGCTGTACCTGGACTCTCTGGGTGAGCGTAAGCCGATGCCCGTGGCTGAGGCTGCTGTGCGTCGCCGCCGCAAGGGCCCGCCGGTGCCGCCGCCGTCGGAGCCACCCCCGGCTATCGGGGATGGAGCTGCAGGGTGGCCGCCTGGAGATCGGCCCGCAGCTGACCACCTCGACGGGGGAGCCCTGCGGGAGGAGGTAGGTGGCACCGCGACGCCTCCCGCCCTGGAGGATGCCGAAGTCTTGAGGAGCTCGACTCGCTGGGTGTCCATGGAGACGCTCGGCGCCATCAAGCGCGGGGGCGAGATCGAGCTGGCGGACAGCGACAAGGTGATAGGCGAGCGGGCGCTCCACAGGCTCCCCGACGGCCAGGTCATCACCGCGTGTCCCGCCTCCAGCCTCGCCGCCATCCAGGAGGTGCGCGGCGCAGGAGATGGGGCCGACGCCCGCGTGCTCTCGCCGGTCGTCTACGACCCAGGAGGACGCCGCTGGTCGGAATTCTCGGCGGCGGTCTCTCGCATGCGGGTGGAGCCAAATGGACGATTTTCCGCTGGAGGGCGAGAGGTCGGCGCTGTGGCTATTCCAGTATGCACGGGACCACGGCGGGACCTTCGATGCGCGGCAGACGAAGTGGGCCATGGAGCAGCGCATCGCGCCTGACTCCACGGCGTTCCTGATGCGCGACCTGGTTGGGCTGGCGCTGGACTTGTCGGTGTGCTACGACCAGTGCGACGGCGGCAACCTCGCCAGCGTGGAGGTGCTGGCGCGGCTGTGCCAGCTGGTGGGGGAGACCAGCGGGACACTGCAGCTAGAAGGGATCGATCACTACCTGGGCCGTGACAGGACGGGAGGGCTGCGTCGCGGTGTGGCGCTCAACCCATCGCTGGCACAGTACGCGACGGAGAAGAAGAGCAAGGAGACGGAGGTGATGAAGCAGCGGGGGAAGGCTCGCGAGGAGGAGGAGGCCGCCAAGAAGAACAAGGGAGGCAAGTCAAGCGCTGGCAAGGCCAGCCCCTGAGGGAAGGCATCGCTGCGGAGGCCCCCGGCCGCAGCGGGACGCAGCAGGGGTCAATTCATCGCCGGAATGCCGCTGCTGGGAAGGGGGGCGGTTTTCTTCCCCTCGCTTGCCCACGGGTAGAGCAGCGCGACAATGGGGCACCGAGCAGAGAGTTCGTCGACGATACAAGGTTCAGGAGGCCACGCGCGACTCCATTCGCGCGATCAACCTCCTGGCGGGTTTTGAGACGCCCGAGGTGGAGTCCGTCACCGACTTGAGTGGCCCCTCCGCCTTGATCTACAGCGACGCGCGGGCGCTGCGCTCGGCCCATGACCCCGTGCCGGGGAATTCGTTTACTCCGAGGGAAGCCTTTGATGAGCTTCTCGGGAGCACGCCCTCGACCTACACGGATGGTGACGAGACTTCCCCCGTTCGGCCCTACTCGCGCGACCTGGTCAGCTGGCCGGCCAAAGGCAACGCGCCCGTGCCCCTGGCCACCAACGCGCCGCTGGACTTGCTCCAGTACTTGACAGAGGGCCAGCGTGACGTGCGGCTGCGGCAGCCGCGCGAGGTGCAGCAGGCGCGGCAGGACGAGGGTCTGCCGACACTGTATGGCGATGCCAATTTGAAGGAGGACCGCAGCGCCTACATCGGATTGATCCAGGACGGCCTCGCCCGCGGGATCTTCCGCATGGCGCGTCGTCGGAAGGAGGCCATCAAGATATTTTTCGTCAAGAAGAAGGACGGCAAGATTCGCATCGTGGTGGGCTGCCGTCGCAGCAACCAGCATTTCGTGGACGCGCCCAAGGTGCACCTCTTCTCCGGCAGCAGTTTCGCCGAGGTGGAGGTCCCAGAGGGTCGTCAACTTTTCTATGCAGGGGGCGACGTTCAGAACGCGTTCTACCAGCACCGCACGCCGGCCTGGCTGCAGCCCTGCTTCGGGAGGGACGCTGTGAAGGTGAGCGAGGTCGGCATCGCACAGCTGGATGGGCAGTACCTGGCCGGGGACACCATGCTCTATCCTCTGATGAATGTGGTTCCCGTGGGCTGGAAGTGGGCACTGTACATCGTTCAGCGCATTCATGAACACGTGCTCGACGGAGTGCCCGAGTTGGGGCCGCGACGTCGGGCGATTTACTTTCGACCACCGCCCCTACCAGAGGAGGGCGCGCTGCGCGCGGTCTACGTGGAAAACGTGCTGATCGAGGGCCACGACAGGGACGAGGTGACGCGGCTGCGCCGAGTGGCGCGTGAGGCGCTGCAGGCGGCGGGCTACGCCACCCATGACGAGTCGGACGCAGCCGAGAGCTTGGAGATGCTGGGCGTCGTGCAGCAGGGGCAGCCTTGCCGCGTGGCCATTGCAGACAAGCGGTACTGGAGGCTCTGGGAGGCGCTGGAGTGGACCCATCGTCGGCGGCCGCCGATGACCCGCCGCCAGCTCGAAAGGCTGATTGGCCATTTTACTTTCGTAGCCTTGCGAAAACGTGAACTCCTCAGTTGCCTGCGTGCTAGCTATGACTTTCCCCGAGGAAATTTTAAGGAGCCCAGGATCCTTTGGAAAAGCGTTCTCCGCGAGCTCCGCTCGATCCAAGGGCTTCTGATGTTTGCCTCCCGGGACCTGGATCCAAACTGGTCCCAGGATGTCTTGGCTTATGATGCATGTGAGTCTGGGCACGCTACAGTAAGGGGGGCCTGGGCGGTGGGAGATGCACAGTCTGTAGGCAGGTGGCACGAGAGGTGGCGGTTCAAGAACGAAGAGGGCCCAGCAGGGTTCAACCCGCGCGCCAACGCGTTGAAGGACTTCTCGGCGCTGGGGGTTGGAGTCTGGGAAGATAAGGAGGTCGATTTCAGCAACGTCTACGTTAATAGGGAGTTCCCCGAGGTGGCCGCGAACGTGGTAGAGTCTACGTCGCGGTAGGTCGAGCGATTCCAGCCCGTCTTCACGTACGAGCCGATACATGTCACCGAGATGCGAGGTTTTCTGGGAGCTATTCGTCAGGCCGTGCAGGATCCAAAAGATTGGGGTCGTTCATGGTTGATATTTGGAGATAATCTCGGGCTCATCTGGTCTCTCTCCAAGGGCAGGTGTCGAGATCCACGTCTTCTCATGCTCCACCGTAAGGCCGCAGCGTGGGCTCTAGCCACTCGATCCAGATTCGCATGCCGATGGATACCTTCTGAGCTGAACCCCGCCGATGGACCCTCCCGCAAGCGAGAGCCATCTACGAAGAGCAATGCAGTCAAAGCCAGTTTGGCGGCCAAATCATCTTCGCCCGAGGAACAGGTCAGATCAGAGCCAGCAGGCCACCAGCCAGCCGAGGGCGCCCGGCAGGCCGAGCGAGGCGCAGGAGGGCAAGCGGCAGAAGACCGGCCTGAACGTGTCGAGCTCGGTCGGGGCCAACCCCCGAGCTCCGGGTCACCCGATCCTGGGCCTGCTGGAGCTCAAGGAGGCCGAGCGCGAGAAGGAGCTGAGGTTGCAGCAGAGGCGAGCCGCGAGGCGACTGGCCACCCACGGGGAGCTGCGGGACACGACAGAAGGCCCCAGTATCACCGAGGAGGCCTCGCTGACGCTGAAGACCCGAGGTCAGTACAAGCGACTGCTCTCGGATTTCCAGACGAAGCAGAATGTCGTGGACCTCAGCCTGCACCCGGCGGAGCTGCACCCCCTCGTGGTCTGCTACTTCGATCGGCTTTCTCTCGAGGGCAAGGCGCCGTCGACAGGGGGGAAGCTCATTGCAGCGATGCAGTATGTGGTGGCGGTGTACAATGCCAAGGGTATGATGACCCTGCCCAGGGCGACGCGGTCGCTGCGGGGCTGGCGCCGCCTGGTGCCCAGGCGGACCCGCCGACCCCTGCCGTGGGAGGTGGTGGCCGCGATCGCGGTGACCCTGCTGCGCATGGAGGGACTGGGCATGGCGCTGGCCTGGCTGCTGATGGTGGACACCTACATGCGGCCGGGAGAGTGCCTGGATCTCAAGACCTCGCAGGTGCTCGGGGCAACGTCGCAGCGGCACATAGCGTCGGCGGCCATCCTGCTGCACCCCGCCGAGCACGGCCAGTCCAGCAAGGTGGGGGCGGTGGACGAGAGCCTTATCGTGAGTCGCCCCTGGCTGTCGGACATACTGATGATGTACGTGGACACTCGCCCCAGCGGAAGCCCCCTGTGGAACTTCAGCCTGAAGCAGATGAATGCGAGCTTCATCACCGTGTGTGGCGATGTAGGCATGAGCTACCTGAAGCCCGTCCTGTACATGGGGCGGCACTCGGGTGCCAGTCTGGATCGACTCCACAACCGCCTCGACCTCGCCGAAGTACAACGTCTGGGAAGATGGAGGAGCATGGCGTCGGTCAGGAGGCACGAGAAAAGGGCCTTGGCGCAGGACGTCTACAACAAGCTAGACTAGCGCAGCCGTCTCATGTGCACCAGGTGCGCACTCGAGCTCGAGGCAACCATGCTGAGAGCCGGCAAGCAGCTTCGCGCACACCGAGGCGTGCCGCCAGGAAAGGCTTCTTCGTGATTGAAGTTTTCAGCGGGCGTGGCAGCTGCAGTCAAGCCGCGAGACGGAGGGGGATCGATGCGTTCGCTTTCGATATTTTGCAAGGCCCGCAGGGTGATGTCACACGTGTCAGTGTACAACGGCGCATCCGAAGGTTGATCGCACATCGTCGCTGCCTCGGCCTGCTCTGCGCCCCCCCGTGTACCACGCACAGTATTGCGAGAAGGCCAATGATTCGTTCCAAGCAACATATCCTCGGGCTGCCAGATGTTCAGCCCCATATTCGGAGACAGCTCGAGATGGGGACCCGCCTCATGCAGCTGACTGCCCAGTTCTGTGCCTACGCTTCTCAGTGCAGCGTACCGTGGGTCATCGAGAACCCGCAGACGAGCCTGATCTGGTCCACCCCCGAGTTTCAAGGCCTCTGTCGAGGCCTCAACGTCGAGAACGTAGTGACTCACATGTGTGGTTTTGGGGCCAGATGGTTTTGGGGCCAGATGTGCGCTGGACTGATAGGAATGGAGAACATGATTTTCAAGTGTGGTAGCTACGGAATCAAGCCCTGTGAGTACTCCAAGCAGCCCCACATCGTGTTGACTGGAGGGGACCCTCTGGGGGTCCGTTGGACCAAGCGTGCGGCCGCTTATCCCTATCGATTTGGGTCCTGCCTGGCCAAAATCTTCATCGACAACGGGTTTGCTAGAGTACTGGGGGCCGCCTGCTGTTCCGGTGGTGCCTTGGGCGAAAGCTTGACTGAGCTGGAGTACTTCGAACCGCTAACGAGTTTTGCGTATTTGGGGTGGTATCAATGTTTTCAGGGCGCTGACGCGCCCCCGCTCAGGTATGTCCCTGGATCCGTGCCGCCTCGGCGCACCAAGGATTGCAACAGAAATCAGGTTCAAGAAAAACTATAATGGCATGACTGATGGGTTTGCTTTAGCATGGGATTCAGGAAGTGAGTGGGGGTTTTCGCTTGCAGCTTTTCCTCTCACCGTCCAGCAGCCCCACCGCCGCCCTTAATCTTTTTTGGAATTCCAAGCTCCCTTGCTGGGAAACTAATCAGCTTTGTGCTGATTGCTGCATCTTATATAACCGCTAACGCGGATAGTCCTGCTCACCTCGCCCTGGCACCACACGGGTGGTATCAATGTTTGCAGGGCGCCGACGCGCCCCCGCTCAGGTATGTCCATGGATCCGTGCCGCCTCGACGCACCAAGGATTGCAACAGAAATCGGGTTCAAGAAAAACTGGAATGGCATGACCGATCCTCCTCCTCCTCCTCCTCCTCGTCCTCCTCCTCCTCCTCTTCCTCCTCCTCCTCCTCCTCCTCCTCCTCCTCCTCCTGTAGGATCTGGGTGGGTCACCAGAGGATGTCTGTTGGCGGCCGCCCCGTGGCCGCCCCACGCAGCTTGCAGCGCAGATCGTGCGCCACGCAGCCTGTGCCGCACCGCGCGCACCGCGTAGGCGGCAGCCTTGGCATCGCTCGGACGTGTGCATTTTTTCGGCGAGGGCCATCGAGGAACATCCCTGACCATGTGGCGAAAAAACCACGCACGAAACCGGAAACAAAAGGGAATGGACGTCCGAACGATGGCCAGCAGCACGGGATGCGGCCACATGGCCTGCGCCATACAAGCTGCACCTCCCAGCTTGCACCATATCCCGTGCGCCACGCAGCCTGCACCGCGTGGCTTCTCTTTTCTGGAGGGGGGGGGGGAGAGGGAGCGAGAGAGAGAGAGAGAGAACAAAACAAGAAACTCTCTCCCCCCGGGATTTCTGGTACCCTTGGGGCGCTGCAGGTCACGTGCGTGTTTGCTGCATCGTTCATTGTGCATATGGGTCCATGCCGTCCCAGGCAGGCACCTTATCGCCCCCCCTCACCCGCCGCAGGCTAAGTCCAAGCGGCGCCAGAGGTGAGCTCGGGCAGCTGGTCCCGGGCAGCATTGATGTTACCTTGTGCTGTTTTACATTGTGCTGATCTTCTTTGACAATGTATGCCCAGTACGCTTTGTGATGTTCCGGCGGTTGACCGCGGAGTCTCACGTTTTTCTTCTGGCTCGATTACGACGCATGGTGGGATGCTCCCTTTCACTGGGGCAACACACCGCCCTTGGGATACCTCTGTGTTTGTCGTGGTTGAGCTCGTGGGCGAGATGGTGGTGGGTGTCTGTTGGGACGATGCCGTTTCTCTTTATCCCCTATGGTTGTGGTCTCGTGCCAGTTCCGGGTCAGCAGGGTGGGCCTGGTTTCCACCCTACCACCATAAGTTGGACGGGGGAGGGGGTCCTCCTCCCCCTCCTCTTCTTCCTCTTCCTCCTCATCCTCCACCTCCTTCCCCCCTCCAACTTATGGTGGTGGTGGATGTGGAAAACAGGCCCATCATGTTTATCGCAACTTACCATGTTCG